TCCATCTCTTTTGTTGGAAAATTCACGTGGGTAATTTCTAGTATGTTTTGCACCCAGCATCAGTCAACTGCTACATTAACACCAGGGCAAATATACAACATTTAATTCAGCTTGCAAAAAAATGTGGCCAGTGTGCACAAAGCCCTAATTAAAGGAACCAAAAGACTAACAACATGTGAAAACTTAAACCAGGGGTCTTCAAACTTGGTCCTCTTATGACTTGTGGACTTCAACTCCCAGTGTGCCTGGGAGTTGAAGTCCACAAGTCATAAAAGGGCCAAGTTTGAAGCCCCCTGACTTAAACCCATTAACTTTCTGCCTCTTTTTCTTTTCTCCCTTCTCCTTCCTTCAGTTTATAGGAGACTTTAAAATTTTGTCCTTCCAAACAAGGAAAAGATGCTTGGATCTGCATAATCATCAAAAGCAGTGTGGGTCGGGACCCCATTTGGCGTCGAACGACCATTTCACGGGGGTCGCCAAACAACGCAGTCCGCCATTTCCCCCCCCCCCTTTTCCTTAGCTGTGCTAGTCCCTTTTATTCTATTGGCTTTTGAAAGCCAATAGAATAGACTCTCTCTTTCAAAAGCCAATAGGAATTGTCCAGGCTGTCTTTGCCCTGCTGCGCCCGCCAAAAGTCCCATTCTGCAAACAGTGCTGCACCAGGTGAGTAGTCCTCGATTTACGACCGGTTGAGTAGTCCTTGACTTACGACTGGTTGGGGGTCGCGGCATTAAAAAGGTTGAGAACCACTGATCAAGAGACACATAGACATGGATAAGGAAGTAACCCCTCCCTCCATCTACCTTGATGACCAGCAAAGTGTGTGTTGTATTTGTGTTTCTGCCTGAGGAGAACTCCAACTACACTGGACCAAATGCTAATTCATTGTGTTGTTGGAGGGACTGAAGGACAATCTGGCCACACACAAACTTAGGAAAGATTAGTTTGGACAACGTAGAAGGAAGTTCTCAAAAAAAAAAAAAAAAACACTGAAAGGAAGACATTATTACAGAATAAAAACAGCAGCCTTGGAAGACAAAAGGGCTGGCAGCATGTAACTTGGAGGACCACGGGAACCACTGTCCTGTTAGTGGAGCTGGGCAATCAGTTTAAGCCACTCTGCCTATAGCAGGCATGTCAAACTCATGACATCACATGACGTCGCACAACGTAATGGGACTTTTTCCCCATTGCCGGCAATGGGGTGGGCGCGGTTTTGGCATGACGCATCCTACCCGCATGCTGGCAGTTTGACATGCCTGGCCTAGAGGAAGACTTACAGACTTACAGAAGGAGTTTCACCCAGTGTCCCACTAAGAAGAGAAGTCAGACTGCTATGGAGAGAAGGAATGCAATATAGTTTGGAGCTGCATTAACCAGGTGTCAAGATAATAGGAAGTAACAGTCTTACATTGCAGTGGAAAGCCCCACACCTAGAATACTGTATCCTGTTCTAGTCAATACAAAACATAATACAAAAGTGGACAATGAGGAACAGGAAACATACAGAGAAGAATGATAAAGATGGAAAGGGGGCTTGGAAGCCAAATCATACCAAGAATGGTTAAAGGAACTTAGTATGTTTGGTCTAAAGAGCTGTGGTGGTGCAGTGGTTAGAATGTAGTATTGCAACTAATTTTGCTGACTGCTAGCAGTTTGATTCTCACCAGCTCAAGGTTGACTCAGCCTTCCATCCTTTCAAGGTCAGTAAAATGAGGACCCAGATTATTGGGGGTAATATAATGACTTTGATAGCCATTTATCTGGGATAATAGGAGGAATCCTGTTCTGGGCAGGGGGTTGAATTAAAAGACCACTAAAGTCATTTCCAACCCTATTACTGTATGGAATATTGTTTGAGATTTATTTAAACATCAGCAAATATCAAAACTGTTTGCTGGCAAACTGAGCTAAAAGGCAAGCAGAAGCAGGGAGAAATAGACAAGAATTTTTCTAGAGTCATTAGGAGTTGAGCAGTACAAATGGAGTAAAATAAAGACTTTGTATTATCTATATAGCTATTTAGATCTACATTTCCAGAGTCCCTGGAAACAATATTGAACAATCCCAGAGGCCTTTAGTTAAAACAGCAAAATAGAGATGAAAATAAGACACCAGATGATGCCTCTTCTATTTTGCACTGTGAAAGAAATAGTTTGATGGATATAGATGATGTACCCACATATAAATGTTAGTTATTATATTCTTATCCACAGAGATTCAGAACTAGCTAAGGTATCTGACTCTGTTTTAATTTTAAAGGGAGAAAATAGCTAATATATAGGATTATAAACATATAGGTGCAAGTATTCCCACGGTGACTGCCAACTTTTAGAAAGCTGAATTTGAAGAAGAATTATTCCTTAAGGATGAGTAGCTCACTACCTGCTTTGATAAAACTTGTTTTCTAAACTTTTGCACTGATTCAGAAACAACTCTATACATTCTAATTTAGTAGATATGGCAGCGAATGGTGTATACTAATTTCCCCCCAATTTTTATGTGCTGTAATTCCTTGTATCGCATTGCCTTTGATCATTTGGATTAGACATTATAAGACTTTGAAGTCCAATACATCTGGAGGGTACCAATTAGGGAATTCTATACCTTTCTCAAGTCACTTTCAAGCATTTCAAGGATTCCTACTCATCAGAGACAGGATTATGGTGCATGAATTGAGTATGGGTGCAATCACTAACAGGCCAAGGACATCATGTTCCTGTGCAGTTTAATCACTAAACGGGACTGTGAAGTGTTTTGGTCTTAAAAACAGAAAGGGCTTTTGGAGTCCCTGTGTGGGTATGCACACAGTCTGCAACTCCCCTGAACTCCAGTGATCCTTTACTCATGATCATGCCGACAGCCACACCATCCTGGAGGTAGGTGCTTTAAATGGAGACAAGCATCTGTATGCTCAAATGCACTTAACCCCCCCCAAAAAACCCTTTGAATCTGTAGCAATGCATAGCCTTACACTGATCTGTGTTAGTTAAGAGTTAGTTTCCTGAAGTTTGTCCTGTCCTTGAATAAGAGTTTTCAAATGGCACCACCTGACTGACTTGGAAAACAAATAAAAGTGTTTTAATCTATTCTCTTTTGATTAACGTCTACATCAGCCTTCTCCAACTAGGCTGTGGGATTATGGAAATCAAATCCAACTTATCTGGAGGTTAACAATTAGGGAGGACTCTTCTTTAAACAAACATTCAACACTGCTATTCCTATTAAAGTGTGATCTGATCTTTTAAAAAGTCTAGCACAGGTGGCTGCAATCTCTGAACAAGAACCTAATTCTCCCTTGGTGACAAGAAGTTTTATTAATGAAACACATGGCCTGTTTCAACCTCTGCGATCCTACATAAGCCATATTACTCCAGCTGCTTGAAGAAATACCAATGCAAATGGCAGAAGCAGCAGCTGTGCTGGGAGGTCAGCACCACACCATTTTGTGCACTTCACAATCCCTCAGATAGAATGACAAGGGGGGGGGAGGGAGAAAAAAATTAGTTGCTGCCCCCAAGATACGAATACATGGGGCAAGACACCATTCAAAGAAGGTATATTTCCAAGGAAAAACTAGCAAAACGCCCAGGAATGCCAAATGTTATCTCAGCAGCTCTAGTCTGAAGTATAACAAGTGGCCGTCATTTCCAACAATTTCCCGCTACTTTACTTTGACATCCCTCTGACAGACACAAAGCTATAACACTCATTGCATAAAAATATACAGGGGAAAGTTGTCTGTGTTACATAGCCTCACACTGTGAGGGTAGGTTTATGCCCAATAACTTGATTGTAGAATACAAGGCATAAATGGTACAAGTGCTCCACTGTATGTAGGTATACATGCAATCTATCTAATCCATTAGTCATCTCCTCTGCTTCAACTGAAAAGCTCAGAAGTACTAGTGAGGGATTTTCCAAAAGTCTATCATGCAGGCACTAACCAGGCTAAAATATCAAGAATTTCAAGCTGTCAGATTAGGAACAATTTGTTTAGAGGAGAAAGCTTTGTAGAATAAAAGGTGATTAGAAACATCTAAATCTCTCTGAAATAGATTTAGTCTATCAGCCAGCTTTTTGAGAAGAATCTTTCTTTTAAGCTGCTATCTATTCCTTCCCACATAAGCTACTGGAGCCTAAACCTGGGGCATCCTGATTGAAAATCAGTTACACTACCATGGATCGTGATCTTATTCAAGATGCATCTGACTTTCAGCAGTATCTAAATCAGTAAATTACAAATATAAACCAGTTACATCTATAGATAAATAAATTGATTCATATTAGGGCTGCAAAATTCCAGATAATCTCTAGATGGAAGCAAAGAGATACAGAAAACTGTTGGTTGTCCAATGTTCTGTAGTAAAGATATGGTAGTCCTGGATTAATCTGTCTTACAGTATACCTATATACAATATTTTACAGTATATACAGTATCAATATACAATTCTTTGCATATATTTCACATTTTCAATGGAGAATCCCTTAATTTATAAGTACAGATTATATCTAATCCTCACTGTTATCGATGGCATATACCCCTTGAATAGTTCTGCAGTTTTATACACACCTGCACACATACACACACCCCATTACACAACCAAAGAGATCAAGTACTACATAATTAAGAACACAAAAGCAGCCTCCGTGGTTGCATAGCTGGGGAAAGAACCATTTAAGCAATGCAGTGAACACACCCAAATCCACATCCGTTCCAATTCAGGGATATATTGTGAATAGCCAAATTCTGGTGCCTGCTGTATATGCCCTCCCTCTTCCATCATCTATTCAGCTCCATCCTTTTCAGTAACATGGTATTTTAACAGAGAATCACACACAGAAGAGAGAGACCCGGTAAGGATTTGATTAGCTGGAGCAAACAGACTCCGGCAAAAACAGGCTGCTTCATGTCGGAACAGGTTCTTCCCAGCTACCCAAATGTGTGATTTGCATGTCTAAAAACATATAGCAATGTTCAATCCAGAATCAGCTCTTACCTTGAAATGCTGCAGCTGAAGAATCTGGTCTTCCAGCTGTTGTCTCTTCCCTTCTATTTCCGTCTGTCTTTTCCTTTTTTCCTTAGCAAAGACAAAAACCAGCAGAAGAGAAATTGTCTGTCACTAGAGAAGCAAAGGTTTTCAAATGTGTGTTTTTCATATGAGTGGATTTACAAGCCAAGCCCTTTGGTTACAGAAGCCACCTGATCCATCCGTGCCAGCTTGTCACCTACCTCACACAAACAGCATCTTCACAAAAATAGCATGTCAGCCAAGGACTAATGTCTTGCTCACTTAGGAGGAGAAAGATGGGTCTTCTCAAGTTCAGCCATGGGAATGGCAACGAAGAGCAGAGTCCCGGGGGAAGAGAGGGGGAGACAGAGCAGGCACAAAGCTTAACAACCGAGTTAAAGGCACAAATCCTAACACTTGTGCTTTGCATCTCCTACAAAATATAACATTGCATGCAGAGAAAAAAGGGCTAGTAACAGGGTAGAGATACATAAGAGGTAAAATCAGGATAAAGACAAGATTAACTTATGGGGCATTCTACTCCTAGATCAATTATCATCCCAGTTTGAATAATTTGGAAAGAATAAGGTTTGACTTTCCACAGAGCCAGTATCTTCAGCATTGCCTTTAAATTCACCTATTTTCTTCTTTTTCTTCTCTTTCAATCTACACCTAAATTCAACACAGCTTATTTTTCCTGCTATAATCCCATAGAGCTGTCTGAGCTCCCAGCCCATGTGCAAGACATATTTCAGTCTTTCTTAGATATTCTTACACTCCCTCTTAAAGTAGTGTTTTAGTCAAGAGTATCTGGAGGCAGCAGCAAGGTTGGTAACATCTGTTGTGTTTTATTACTCATTATGTTGAAGGCAAAATTGGGTGCCAAGCCAAGTATGGTATCAGAGCAGTGCCTATTGTGCTGATGGGTGAATATTAACAGAATAACAGAGCTGGAAGGGACCTTGGAGGTCTTCTAGTCCATCCCTCCTGCTTAGGCAGGAAACCCTATACCGTTTCAGACAAATGATTGTCCAGTCTCTTCTTAAAAACTTCCAGTGATGGAGCACTCACAACTTCCAGAGACAATTGTTTCACTGATTAATTGTTCTGTCAAAAAATTACTCCTTAATTCTAGGTTACTTCTCTCCTTGATTAGTTTATTAACTAATCAATATTAACTGATTAATATTAACAATTGCTGCTCCCTGGTCAACCCATCCTCCTGCTATTCCACTACAGGTAATTTTCAACGTATGACCACAACTGCGGCCAAAATGTATGTTGCTAAGTGAGAAATTTGTTAAGTGAGTTTTGCCCCATTTTATGACTTTTTTTGCCACATTTGCTATGTGAATCACTGCAGTTGTTAAATTAGTAACCCTGTTGTTAAGTAAATCTGATTTCCCCATTGACTTTACTTTCAGAAGGTCGCAAAAGGTGATCACATGACTCCAGGCCACTGCAACCATCATAAATATTGAGTCAGTTGTCAAGCATCCCAATGTGAATCAGGTGACCATGAGGATGCTACAATGGTCATAACTGTGAGAAATTGTCACAAGTCACTTTTTTCAGTGATATAACTTCGAATGGTCACTAAGCGAACTGTTCTAAGTTGAGGATTAGTTGCATTGCCTCCATGCAATAGCATCCGGTTTCTCAGAAATATGCAACCACAAAAAAAAAAAAAAAACGTGCTCAGTAAGTACACCTACAACCTATACCAGTTTAGTACAAGGCAGAAAATGTAAATTACGGGAATGCCAGTGCTCCCAACCCTACACACACACACACACACACACACACACAAGCATGGAGTGGTCTAGAAGTTGGCAGCTGTTGCCTACATAAAGAATAGAAGAGAGAAATCCTAAGTAAGTGCTGCCTGTGACTCAGTTCCCTTTGTGATTTTGATTTACATGAACTTTTTTTTAACATGTTCATTCAGTGTGGATTACAAGAGAAGGGGGTGAAGGAGGAAGAGAAAGAACAGCACAGAAAGGAAGTTGGGAGGTGATGGAGAGAGCCCTGGAGCCGGATCCATCCCCTTCCAGCCGCAGCAATGTGGCCGTTGGATATTTCTTCCAAATGGGTAATGACATGCAGAAGAGGGAGGACTGCCAAGCCAGAAGAATCAACCAATCATTTTGCTTATCATGCATAATCAGGACAGCATCATTGGCAGTAAGTCAGAACTTGCACACGGGAGATTGGAAAGGGATGGGCAATGGGGACAGCAGATTTCATGCTGACATAGTTTTCTGCTGACTGCCCCTGTTCTTGGTCTGCAAAGCATTATGACAGGTTAGCGGGACTGGATAAAAGGGACAATGTCCAGAATGGTTGTGCCAAATGATACACCACTATGATGAGCAGATGAACCACTTTCAATGTTAGTTTATCTTAACAGGAGAGAGGAAAGGGATTTTTATTTTTATTTTTGCCTTAAAACTGATAGGGGACGTATGAGGGACACAGGTACCAAAGGACTATCTTTCCAGGTACATCTATCTGACCCACCAGAGCAGGGAGGCAGGATAAGTCACAGGTCGCCTCTTCTTAAGAAGGTCCATTTAGTGAGACCAAGAAGAAGGGCCTTCTCTGTGGTGGCTCCCTCCCTGTGGAACATCATCACTGCAGAGATAAAATTGGTCTCCACCTTGATACTTTTTCAAAAACCGCTGAAGACATGGTTTTGCCATTGGGTCTGGAGAACCCAGAGTGATACACAGCCCATCAAGTGATTGTTGTCACCAGAGGGGTAGGATTTATATTGTTTTGAATTTCGGGTTTTATTTCTGTAAGCCGCCTGGAGTCACCACGAGTGAGTTGGGGGGGCATATACATTTTCTTGAGAAATAAATCACTATTGAATACTGATTGGCTGAAACATTTCTGCTTGCTTATTGGCCAGGGGTCTTCAAACTTGGCCCTTTTATGACTTGTGGACTTCAACTCCCAGAATTCCTCAGCCAGCATGCCTGGCTGAGGAATTCTGAGAGTTGAAGTGCACAAATCATAAAAGGGCCAAGTTTGAAGACCCCTGTTATTGACTGTCAATTCTGATCAGCTGTCAGTTCTTAGTAAATGCTGCAAATTCATCACACATGAATTGGCTGTAACATCCAGGTAACGAAATGGGTAACTAGTTAAAACAATTTAATTCCAAAACCAGAAAACGTGGGCAACTAAATAACCAGTGATTACGGAGATCCAAAGTAAACTCCCAAATCAAACACAAAGGTCACTTGGGCCTTGGGCAGGTCACTGTTGTTCAGCCCAACAAATTTAACAAAAAAGGAGTAAATTGCAGAAGAGATTGCATAATCTTATCACCATGTCCCCCCAAATATAGTAAGTTACAGTAGTAGAAACAGTTCATTCAGAAAATAGGACCTCCATAGTACTATCTATAAAAATTAGCAATGATCTTGGCAGCCATAGGGAAATCAAGTCTTTAATCAGATCACAAATCACAGCAAGCAAACTATATTCAAAATGCTAAAGCTTTGGAAGGGGGGGGGATCTATTTTCACCTATTTGCGATGGAATATAGGTTTGACTCAGAGAAGAAGGACTGCTGAACCACTAGAGAAAAGATATTTGAAATCTGGGAAAGTAGAAGACAGGAGAAAGAAACTCAAAACAATTCACTTTTGATTTTGTGAAAAATAAGTTGAAGTGGGCAGGCTCTGATTGGCTTTCAAGATTCTGCCACATTAAAGTATGTTTCAAGTCTACTAGGAATGCCTATTTTCTGACTATGACTACCTTAAAGGGCTCATAGTCATGGACAAGGTGTTCAGAGTATGAACTTCAATCTGATGAGATATATTCACTGACTGTGGACAAAACAAAACAAAAAATTGTATAAATGTATTCATGTTATATTGAATGGAATATGAACAAGTAATTATCAAGAGTTGTGCACGTTCTTAATTATGGTAAATAGCTCTGTTTTGAAGAAAATCTTTGTTTTGCAAAATACTATTACTTAGTTCTGCTATAGTTACCATCTTCCAATTTTTGTGTCTTGTGAACACATCTACAAAATGAGTTGGTCATAAAATTCATACAAAGACCCATTATTATGTGTGTCAAAAATGGAAAAAGACTACTCTGAAGGAATACTTTCCTTCTGACATTATTTCTTAAAGCGAAGTTTTTACCATTTCACCTTTTCATCACAGGCTTTCTCCCTGCAAGTAGTATTTTTGGTTTTCTCTTTGTTTTCCTTGTTGTTGTTTTGTATGGTTTTTTTTTTTTTGCTGTAATTGGGTATGTCTAGATTAACGAAGAGAAGGACGCGGGGGAGCATGATAGCAGTGTTTCAATATCTCAGGGGCTGCCACAAAGAAGAGGGAGTCAAGCTATTCTCCAAGGCACCTGAAGGCAGGACAAGAAGCAACGGATACAAACTAATCAAGGAGAGAAGCAATCTAGAACTAAGGAGAAACTTCCTGACAGTTAGAGCAATTAACCAGTGGAACAACCTGCCTCCAGAAGCGGTGAATGCTCCAACACTGGAAGTTTTTAAGAAGAGACTGGACAGCCATTTGTCCGAAATGGTATAGGGTTTCCTACCTGAGCAGGGGGTTGGACTAGATGACCTCCAAGGTCCCTTTCAACTTTATTATTATTATGGATCATCGCACAGTCAGCCAGATGTTCAGATGAATTTGGCATTTTGTCTACCTATCGAGTCCTTACCCAGGACTGGGATAGGCGGATGTGGATGTTTGATGGTATTACAGATATCGTCGCAGGATGGAAGCAGTTCCTAGTAAAGCCGCCTTTTGCAATTGACTAATAGATTATTATTATTATTATTATTATTATTATTATTATTATTATTATTATTATTATTATTATTTGTACTTCATATTTTAATTGCTGATTATAAACTCCTTTACCGATTTGTAATAATGGGAAGCGGTAAAAAGATATTAAATAGCTATCATGACATCCACAATAATGACAGCTTAATCTTCTTCCAGAATCCCAATCAATTCTTTGGCTCCCTAAGTGACTCTGAGCTGGCTGCGAGAAATTCCCTTCACTTGGTGGTG